CACACACACACACACACACACACACACACACACACACACACACACACACACACAAAGTCTCTGTCAGACAGTTTGACTGTCACATACGGACTGCTTAACAGAGTGACAGACAGACAGTCAGACATGACAGACAAACAGATAGACGGACAGAAGGATAAACAGGCAGACAGACAGATCGACAGACAGCTACCTAAAAACTGACAAACAGACCGACAGACATCTGCCTACACACAGATGGACAGACCGACAGACACGCATATGGACAGGGTGACAGAATGACGTGGCACATGGACAGGGTGACAGAGTGACAGACAGACAGACAGGTACACGTGGCAGGCCCTTGCAGACAGACTGACTGACAGACACACACACACACACACAGACCACCCAGAGTGACAGACAAACAGACAAACAAACAGACAGACAGACAAATTGACCACGGCACAGCTTGACTGAATGAGAGACTAGCAGACCAACAGACAGCTGTACAGCCAGCCAGACAGCCAGAAAGCCAGCCAGACAGACCGACAGCCAGAAAAACGGCCCGGAAAAGGCCCCCTGCGACCACGTACGCGGGGCCCTTTTTGTCGTACGAGCGCACACATGCGCGGTACGTACGCATTACGTACGCGTGCACGTGCGTACGTGTAAGCGTGTGCGCGGGGGCCACGTACGTGTACGCCGTGCAACACAGGTACAAAGTTTTGTGAATTGCGCTCCTTTGGAAGATATTTATAAGGAGATGGTGGGATAATCCACAGACATTACAGCAGAATTCCACTTTGTGATATCCGTTTCTAAAGATTCAATCATTGAACAATACTGTTTTTTAATTTTTCTCCTCCCTTTTTTCCATTTTTTTCCCGCTTTCTCTTCTCGCTCTCTAATTTACCTTTGAAAGGGCAACGACGTTGAGATATCATAGTGAAAGTGACTGGCCCAGGTTAATTCAAGAATTTCAAATTCGCCTAGCTCCATCAGTCAGGTCTGTATTCCAACAGTTTGTGGGTGTACCAACCGAGCTAGGCCCGTTCGTGAGACTAAACGATCTTGCATAGCGGTGATAATCGAGCACCATGCGGATCATGACAATGGATGGACTAGTAGTAGTCTTAAAGCTAGAGAACATACCTGCAATAATCCATGCCATATGTCTCGTGGAAAGACTGAGGGCCAACTCGGCCGCCCTCAGCCCAGGCCGAAACGGGGGCAAAAAGGAACCCCAAATAAAGACTCAGGGCCTGGACGTGTGACAGTTGACTCTGGTCAAGTGTCGTGACCCAAACAGTCAAAGTCCAAAGGTACCTAGCCTAGGCCACTGGTCAAGCACACACATTTGTTTGTATGCAGGTACCCAGACGGCATCAGGTCCAAGGGAGAAGTCTGCAACTGTACAATCCGGGCCCTCAGCTGTGAGTCAATCTGGACGACTGTGGGAAAGCACCCGAGGCCAGACAGCCTCAACAACTGTTACTTAAGGCTGGCCTCGAGTGAGTCAAGCATTCAGTCTTGCTATGCTGCTTTGACACTGGCTCGACTTGACTGGATGCTGGCATTATGCTGGTGCGACGCTGGCTACATGCTGGCTATGCGCATGCATTGCGAACGACGGCACGAGGTGGAGACAGCATGCTGGCGCTTCTTCTGTGGGCCAGGCATGCTGATGTGGCGCTGCCTCTGGTCTACATTGCATGCTGATGTGGTGCTGCCTTTGGTCTACATTGTATGATGATGTGGCACTGCCTCTGGTCTGCTTTGATGATGTGGTGTGTGCACCTGTCTTGACTGCTGACGTGGCATTGCCCACGCTGTCTACATGAGGTGACTGGTTGCGAGGAGGAGGAAGATCGGGATCGGTGGATAAAGGTGATTGGGTACTCACCTGAGGTTGACGTCGACACACTGGAATCTGCTATGTCTTCATGGTCTTCACGAGATAAAGTGCCACGTGGCACTATTGTGTGAGTTCAGGAATATACGTATTATCATTGTTGATGTGGAGAGGGAAGAAGCTCGGAGAAGGAGAGGGATCTGAAGGGATATGATCTTTCATCTTATCCTTTGTCTGTTCCCCCCCTCCACTCTCTTCTTTTGATGGTAATGAGATACTGTTTCAGATATCACTTGATTTGGAGACTTTGATGCAGAGAATGAGACTACTGATGTTTGACGACTTCTGAGTATCTGCCAGATTGGGTTCATTACATACCTATAAAAAGCATGCATATTGCCATGTCAACACAGATGGCGAAGATGGGCCTGAAGTAGTGAAGGTGAGCGCAAGGAAGGATGACGATTCCACACGTGTGGGTCGGGTTGCAAGTTAATAGTTGTATTTTGGATGGCCAAGGAGACTAACCGGCAATGTTGGCAACAGGAGCCTGTAGTTCGCGTGACATGGTGGCAAGGAAGATGTCCTTGGCCTTATTTGCATCCTTAAGGGCAATGTTCAGGGCCTCCATCTCCTCTTTGCGGCTTCGCACGTCGGCAAACTCCTTCTGTGCACCATCCATTCGTGTGTAGCAAATCAAGAGCAGATTCAGGGCCAGGACAACAAGAAAGGCGACTGAGGTCCATTTGACAGCGATAGAAGGAATGATGTCTTGTTGTCTGTGCCTGCAATGAAACGTGTAGGACCGTTGACTGTCCAACACCAATGGTGACACAACCTCCTCCCCGTACAAGTCAGGGGAATCAGAGTTAATGCCATATAGGAAGTATCTTGTGTCGGGCCGCACATCATACACCTCCACCACATATTTACCATCTGCATTCACTTCCACCATGAAATCATCGATGATTGCTGTCATATCCACTTCATATGCGGTGAGTCCAGTTTGCTGCAAATCGCCGTAAAATTGGCTAAGACTATAAGTCACAAGAAATCCTCTTCTTGCCAGCCTGGTATCACGGCAATTAGTAACCAAATCCAGACAGTAAGGCTCTGTCACTACGCTCTCTCCGTCTGCAGTCTTTTGGTAGGCAGAACTGAAGTTTGACACTGGAAAATGGATAATGCACAATTGACAAGGATCACAAGACCACACCAACATGAACCATTGACAGAGGCAGGGGGCTTACTTCTACCCAGACATGCATTCAGAAAGAGCACAACCAATACACCTATGAAAGGCATGCCATCCACCATTGGGAGAGAGAGAGAGAGAGAGAGAGAGAGAGAGAGAGAGAGAGAGAGAGAGAGAGAGAGAGAGAGAGAGAGAGAGAGAGAGAGAGAGAGA